CTGAAGTGGTAGAGGTTAACACAGTTAAGGAGTTTAAGCATGCGTGGGATAGGCATAAGGCTATCCTAATTATAAGATAAGGCCAGGGAGTAATGAAAGTATTTAGAAAATTGGGCAGACTAGATGGGCCGAATGGTTCTTATCTGCCGTCACATTCTATGTTTCTATTCTCTCCCTCCCTCGCTCTATACCCACTCCCTGCCCTTACCTGTCCAGAGTGCACACGTTCTTTGAAACAGTGGAACAAACCAATCAAATGCTTCCCTTCCCACCCCCCACCCCATCCTGTAACCATGATCTTTCTGCCTCTGTCGCCTCAGATCAAAGTGATGAACCAGAGGGGCAGAGAGCAGTGTCTCAGCAAATGTTACTATTCATTGGATGAGACATTGTAACAGTGATTGTGTTGATCGCTGTTTTGTCAGGCAGGTCCCCCAATTGTGGTCGGCACCTTAGATAAGGAGGGCCAGATCGTTAGGTCGTGCTATGCTGCCGTAACTTCATTAAAGCCCTCTTTTTGCAGAACTGCATAGCATGCCCTAACGTCAGGAAGGGGTTAATCTCTGAACTGATGAGATTTTCATAAGTGGTTTCACTTATTTTGAGTACAGATCCTGTAGCCATGTGATTGATCTGCTATAGTTTTAGGATATCCTGTAGACCCCAGATACTGTGCTGTCCTTTTAACTTTATAAAGGTGCAGGTCATAAAAACACATTGAAAAAGAACCAACAATTTGTTAAAGACTTTATCTCTTCTTTTTAGGGAGCGAGAGCGGCGCGAGCGAGAACGTGATGAATGGGAGAGACATTACACGCGGAGTCGAACCCCCTCCCCAAGGCACAGTGAGTACAGATTTACACGTTTTCTGTTAAGGTTTATGTGTGTTTTGGAACTCATGGGATCATCTTCAACTTCTGAAATGTCCATCTTCATTTCTTTGAGTACACCTCTTATAAACTTTACTCTTATAAAACGCCATTAAATTAAACTGATACCAAAGTACACTTGGAGTACATGTGTTGTAGAGAACCTGATTGGAATACTGCATGTTATAATCTAGATATTCGTTGATCTGTTGTCACAATTTCACTTTCTCTCTCTAGGTCGAGAGTACAGTTCTTCAAGGAGGTAAGATATTTGCAAAAACTGGACAGTAGTAGCTTTAAAGGGTGACTCTTGTTTGATGTATATGGTTTATATTGTTTTTGGTTTTTTTGTGTAAAGTGATAATGCGTTGGCTCTTTAGACTGTAGAAGATCGGTTTTATTGTGAAGGCAGGAGTAGTAGAGTCCTCATTGTCCTGTGACCTTGATGTGATTTTGAAATTGGTTGTTGTACACTTATTTAAACGCTTTCTTTTCTTGTTGACAGGCGGTCCCGTTCACGATCCAGAAGTCCTCATCACCGTCATTAGCTCGGTGTTGCATCTGCCTATTATTATTTTTTTGATTTATACTGCGGGTTATGAAGAAGAGGAACCTTCCCAGAGTTGGTGGTGCACTCCGTGGGGCAAAGATTGAGATAAATCTTATCACCAAATGATTGAAGAATTGGTATCAGAGTGGAGACTGTCTCACGTCCTGAGAGATCCAAGGTCAAGGCCAGCCTTTATGGCTGATGTCGGACTGTCCAGTTTTCATAAAACACACCTCTTATCTCATGGTGTCCAAGGGTTTGGTCTTTGTGGTGTTTTACAGTTGTTCTCACTTTTTTGTTTTGTACATTCCAGAGCTACCCATCAGACACCATTTAAAGAGAATCAAATCTTCTAGCAGAGTATAAAATGGTTCGCTCAACAACCCACAAAATAATACAGCTGAGCGTAGCAAATATTTATATATTTTTTTTTTTTTGTTCCGCTAATTCCTTTAGAGTCTCTGGTTTTAATGTGGTCATTGTCAAAGATTGATCACTTTATAGTTGAGCCTGTATTAGGATGTAACAGACTACAATGAACTATAATTTGATTACAAATTGCAAGCTAGAATGCTTTAAGAAACACTAGTTGGTGATCTAACGAGTGTTTATTGTCTTGCATCGGCTTCATAAGGGCTTGATAAGGGGTCAGTGCTCTTCAGTTAATGCTGAAGTAGCAGTGATCTCATTGCACACAGGGTGTGATGTAAGAGTTTGGTGGGATACATGGCTTTGTTTGCAGAGCTGTGATTTCCACCCAATTCCATTTATTGTATATGTAAATATAACATGTTTTGTTTCTTAAATTGAGTTGTGTTTTTTGTTGCGTTTTTGTCCATTTTTAGTGTAAAAAAAAAAAAAAAGGGGTGCCGCAGGCACAGCTCTACTACAATACAACTTGTTTGGTTTTACAGGAGTTATCACAAAGCTCCAAAGCAATACAACACATACTAATGTGTGGTGTGTACGCCAACATAAAACTCACACGGGTTTATTAAAAGAGAATTTACAATTTTTAAGCTAAACAGCCCAACTAAAAACCCAGTTTACTTGCATTCTTTTCCAGTTCAGCTATATTCACTTTGAAATTCTAACAATTCACACTTTACTGTATAATCCTGACTGTATTGTAAGTCATGTCAGTAACCAGCAATATTAATTAAACTGTCTATGATTCTCGCACTCTCACTGTAATGTGTCTGTGTTGAGTTACACAGCAAGAATTCACAGAATGACAGCTTTTGTTTATTAAAATGTATTTGTTAATCTTCAACTCTGTATCTTTCTTGAAAAAAAAAAAAAGAGTACGTTGAAAACTCGTCATTCACAGTGTAATCAAAAGCTATTTGCTATTCTTTAATATAGCACAATTATCCTGTGTTCAGTTAGTTAAAGGGAAATTGTAGGCACTGTAACTGCTTCATCTCATTAATGTGGTTATGGTGTCTGAAGCCCCCTGGTGCTGTCCTTCTGTATAGTGTTAAACTATTTTTTTTAATTTTTTTTTCTCCCACACACTCAAATCTATTTTGAGGTATATCTGAGAAACATTGTTTTACAGTAGTGACCATACTAGACATAAACATTGAAAGTTGGGTTAAAATACCAGTAGAGTTACGACGCATAACTACGTTGATACAGAGGAAACTATTGTACATAGCAACCCAACAGAGGCGGCTCTCTAATTAGGCGGTTTAGGCGGCCGCCCAAGGCCTCGCACTGGCTGGGGCCTTGCGGCCGGCAAAAACCACCTGTGGGCAGACTGTGTCGGGTCCTCAGTCAGTGACCGAGGACCTGACACCAGGAGGGGGCCCGGCGGCTTGCCCGGTATGCTACCGGGTGCGAGGCCCCTCCTGGCTGCCCGGCCACCATCGCAGACACAGGTCTGCAGCTCCACAGTGAGCAGAGCTGCAGACCATGTGTCTCGTGAGAATTGGCCAATCAGAGCGTTGCCGCGGGTTACCACGGCAACGCTCTGACATCTCGCGAGATTACACGGTCTGCAGCTCTGCGGAGCTGCAGACCAGAAGCAATGGCCACAGGACCACCAGGGAGGCAACTGGACCACCAGGGAAGAAAAGGTAGGTTCTCTCATCCCCCTCATTATCCCCCCCCTGTTTTTACCCTCAGCCTCACATCCCCATCAGCCTCACTACCCCCTTTAGCCTCACCATCCCCACCACCCTCAGCCTCACCATCCCCACCACCCTCAGCCTCACCACCCCCCTCACCCTTAGCCTCACCACCCCCTTCACCCTCAGCCTCACCACCCCCCTCAGCATCCCCTCCTTCTCACCATCACTCCCCTTCCTTCTCACCATCACCCTCCTTCCTTCTCACCGCAGGTGGTTCCCTTATTTACCACTATAATGTCTTAAAGCATAGAACTTAGTAGGGCTAACCATACAGATAATTTTATATAGTTAGTAAGAGATCCTCTATTTAACATATATAAATAATTGAGAATACAATATAAAATAAGGATTGTCTTGGAAGCAATAGTTTTGTCTTTTTGGATATTTATTATATAAATATAAAATCCATTATAGCAGAGTTTATAAGGTTAAACTAAATGCTTGCAAATATCATTAATAGGTTAACATACCCTTCTGAACATGTCATCATGTCAGCCTCTCTGTCATTTTAAGATGGAGCAGCGTCTGTCTCCAAGTCTCTCCTCTATGTCTTAACATTTAAAAGTACACCTATTTATACCTTAGGTGTGTCCATTTTAGGATTACCGTAGTTCATATATGAAAAAGTAACACTTCTTTTACTTTATTCATTTTAGGACCTCCCTTAACTTGGCAAACATACAAGGCCATAACTAGAGGGTGTATACGTCATGGAAAAGTTCAAGATGGCATCTTAAAGTCTGAATAGCTTATCTGTTTATACTAAGTCGTAAGTGCACAGTCGTGGGAGATTCCCGGATTTGGGAAGTTCCATTAACTTGGGGTTACGACAGTATATTGTGTACTGCAAGAGTCGTAGTATAGCCTTGAAGCTTGTTTATGCATTATTGTTATTGTAACTCGTCTGGGACAAAATGGCGCAAACATATTATGCACTGAGCTTATTGCTTAAAGAAACAGTTATGAAAAACAATATGTTCCATTTCTAACACCTTGTCAGTTTGCAATATCTCTTAAAGACAAAGTACACAGTTTAAGAAATACATTTCATTCTAAAACTTGTAATATTTGCATTTGCCCATAACACCGTCACCCCCTTCCTTCTCACCATCACCCCCTCACCATCACCCCCCTTCCTTCTCACCATCACCCGCCTCTCCCTCTCACCATCACCCCCCCATACACACTTCAAGCAGCTACCCCATACACATAGGGTCTCAGACAAAAACGCAAACATGCTCACAGAGACATACATAAACACACACAAGGATACTCTCTGTCAGACACACTCTCAGGCACATACACAGGTAAACTGTGCATCAATGTGACACTTTTTTGTTAGTGGGGCCTCATGTTTGAGTTTCGCCTAAGGCCTTAAAGTCTAGAGCCGCCTCTGCAACCCAATGTTATGTATTGTGCCACACATAGATCAGGTAGGCCTCTTCTAAATTAAAGAAAATAAACGGTTAATGAAACATATAACCTATGGGTGATAAAGCCAAACGGCAAACAACAGAAGGTTTGTAGCTATAACTTGAAATGGTCAAATGAGCGAAAGAACCACCTATCCAGTAGGATAATATTCTCTCTCAGCACATCTATATTGAAAATAAAGCACATTAAAACAAAATTTAAGTAAACTGTAGTTCTACAAATAGAATCAAACACTAAATGGCCCATACTAGCCAAACATTATGTATTTGGCTGTCATCTGGGTAGTCGGATTTAGTCTACTCCCCTACTGGGAAAAACATCTTAGCGATATCTTAAGAGTAGTTCGGCAACGTTCTCTGTGTCACCCCCCCCCCCTGTAGTTTACTTCTACAGCTCCCAAACTCTTCATAGAACCTTGACACCGTGTCCACTGACCCTTCTTCTCTTGGTGACCACTTGTTTTTACCAATCCGTTGCTAAATATCTTAAAGGACCACTCTAAACCATAAAACCCATCAGCTTGCTAATGCGTGAGTATTCCACTTTATAAAAGTGCTGATTTCTATTTTTGCTGATTTCAATCTCCCAGTCCGACACAATTTCATGGCACCTATGCCCCGCTACACCCCCCTCTCCCCCCTTGGCTTGCGGTGGTACCACAACAGAAGCTGCGACTACGAACAGTGTTCCCAACATGGTGGAGACTACATGCATCCAAATTCACCTGGAGAAGTATGGCATATTACCTCGGCTTGATAGTCTCTTTGAAGCATTTTGGCAGACACTGCAGCACAGATACTTACCACCTGCCACACAAGCTCACCCACAGAGATCGCCTGCACACATAATCCAGGGCCCTTGTGACCAAGGCCCTATGGCGGCCCACCTTAGGCGGTTAGACCCCACCAGTAACACCAGAGAAAAACACAGCTCAGCCTACCAGCTTTTCTAATATATGACTCCCTGACCGGCATCATAGTGTGGGACTGTGACTTGCCATGAGTGGGTGTAGGCTGAGAGACGCCCAAGAGTCATCAATTCATCCTTTTTATGGACTCACACCTCATATACGGAGTCACGAGGTGGACCTAATTCTTTGACAGCAGTACATTAGCATGTGTTTCTCTCTTACTTTAAGCTTCTACTCTGTTTTCTTGTTCTTACAAGCTTGTTATACAGTACTTACTATATGTAAGGTGAATTGACATAGCTGAATCTGTTTTCTTTCGTGCATATAGTAGCCTATTACCTACCCAGTAGCAAAGAAATCATTATATAATACTGATGCATGCGTAGAGCTTTTCAGGAGTTTTTCTTAGTGCTGGGTCTCAAGTGTTAGACCAATACCATTTAGTTTGAAATAGTAAAATCCATTTTTTTCGGAAGCTATACCAGAATCCCTCTGCAATACCAACACGAGGCAGGTTGTACTGATACAAATCCAAATAAGGAATATCCGTTACTTAAATCTAATTGTTCTATCGTGTGTGTGTTTATTTTTTTTTTTTTACATTCTTGCACTCCGACCGAGTACCCTCCGTTGATGGACGCTTCCTAGCTTGCGCCAAGGACCACGAGCACCGCACTGGACACCACAACCACTGCAGACTCAGCAACCGCCGTAGCTTGATGGGGTCTCGCCGTCTTCCTTCCACCCTGTATGAACCTCCAGCATCCAGGACTGTGTGGGGAAGACTTCTCCTCCAAGGAGAGCATAACAGGAACAGTTCTTAAAAGAGCTAAGTGATCAAGGCTCAAGGGAGTATGCAGAGCATAGCAATTCACAGTGTGAGTATAGCTGTGCTCTCCAATCACGAAACAAGACTATGTGTTGAGGGTCAAAAAGAACTGTCTAAAACTTTTACTTGGGACTAGCTCATATGGTCATTACATTAACATTACTGTGAAAACTCAATAAAATAACGTCAAATCACAGCAGGCAACATACAGTGACTTATTATAACACAATGGCGTATTTTAAAAGGGGTGGGGGAGACAATAATTAACAGAAAATATCTCACGTGCCTGCAGAATTAGTAATATGCAAATCTACCCGAATATGCAAATGAACCAGTCTTGCTATTCAGGTAGTGCATATTGCTGTTGCTACCAACCGAGGGCACTAAACAAGCTACATAGCCAAATCCACCTAGTTGGTAGCAAACCTCAGCAGTACAGGAGAGCAGGCAATACATTTCACAGTACACACTATAAACAATTACATTACACACACACTGCAACTATAATGGGTACAGGGTGACTAAAACATATGAGAACTAAAGCAAACTACATAAGTAGTCTGTCTGAAGGTAGAATAGGGGCTTGAAAGCCAAATACATCAAAGAGTCATAGTCACATGGTAGGAGACTGGCCAACAGGCTTCTCCATAACCCAGGGAAGCAGGGCAATTTGTCACACGAAAAACCAGTTACAAAAGGCAGTTTGTAACATCTTGATTTGACGAAAACATTGAATTAATTCATAAGAAATCACACTTTTCCTAATGAGAATGTATTTTATTCTGAGAAGAACCATGGTGTCTCCTAGAGGGCAGTATTGCTTACTGCTTCAGTCCATGATACAATGACTTCATTTCACAAAACATGGACCTTTTAGGATAACTTTTCCAACAGGGCATAACCTGAGAGATATTTTGTTTACATATGAGTCTTTATTTCATTAATTGTTTACTTATCTACTTTTTTCTTGTACCCACAGTGGTGCCCCCTCCTCCTACCGCCCCCCCCCCCTTTTTTTATTTGTAGCTCATCTTTCTCTTTCTTTATTTCTTCTTTCTTATCACTTATCTTATTCCATTTATGTCATGTTTACTTTATGTAAAATGTCAGAATTATTGACGTTGCCTTTTATGATCCTGCTAATTACATGTGAAGATTTCCCTGTCGCAAAATAATAAATAACTACATTTTAAAACCTAAAAATGTAGATGAATATTTTTATATGATCAAAACATATAGTGCTTTGCGTAAAAAAAAATAAAAAATGCCATGTTCTCCAAAAAGTTAAACAGAAAAGTTTTCAAAGTGATTTTTTAATATTACTGGGTACCCCAAATCTTATGCACCCCCTAAATCTAAACATGTAGTGCATCTGAAAGGACATCCAGTGTCTTGGACTGAGGTTTAATAGCATTGGTCGTCTACAAAGCTGCTGCATTATAGTGTGAATAGATAGTTTGAGAGAGGCACATAGGCAATCCTGATTCAAGTAGCACATTAATATTTTGTTTAATTAAAATATCATATTAATCTTTAACATTACAATATCCTGTTTGTGTCATTCAGGTTCCTGAATATTTTGTCATTTGGAATGTTTTTTTAAAAAGTCACAGTTATGAAATGTCCCGGACAAGAACATAGAATTATATAATATTTTAGAGGTACCTTATAGAGAAAGAGCAATATCAGTTAGGTACGGTGTGATACAGGTGTACGAATAAGACGAATTACATTCTTTGTCAATGGTAATAAATCTTTCAATTTCCAAGAATATATAGAGAATAAAAGTAGGACTCTAATTGTACATTAACCCCTGATGGACTCATGCTGGCCTTTTACTTATAAAGCTGTGTGCTTAAGGGGGTTAATAATTGTATAACAACAGTACTGTGTTCACAGTGGCTAAGACTTTAGACCAGGGCTGTCCAACCTGCAGCCCCCCCAGATGTTGCTGAACTACAACTCCCATGGTTCCCTGGCTATCTGTTTAATTGAAAGAATCATGGGAGTTGTAGTTCAGCAACATCTGGAGGCCGCAGGTTGGACAGGCCTGCTTTAGACGATCATAGAAAAAACAACCTTAAAATCTCTATTTCACAGCTTGTATAATGAGCCTGTCGTCCACATATCATGAGGATAACAACAAGTTCGCATGCAGAGAGATAAACGTGCACTATTTAGAATAAAATATAAAGGAAAAAGGAAATCGGTTCTAAAACCAGGACTAGATATATAGTGACAGATCCACTAAATAGTGGGTTGGATCAACCACTATATATCAACTCCTGGTTTAAGAATTTAGAACTGATTTTATTTTTCCTTTATATTTAATTTGATTTGTAACCCAAGGTTGGAGCTTTCCCCACCCAGTTGTAGAAGATAAATATTTATTAGGAGCATTTTCTATATTTCCACGCCTTTGGAGACCAAGAGGAATGATCCATTTTGTTATTTGGTTTGCTTCTTGGCACTCTATATTTCTGCGCTATTTAGAATGCTGATGAATCAGGCTTCCTCTCTATGTAGAATGGAGCCATAGAATGTACAAAATGGCTGCAGCCACCCTATCTCCCAAATGGCACAATGTGCACCCCACAATGACTAACATGCTGGGAATTGTGGGATACACACATGTAGCCAATCCAAACCTCCAAGTTTTTTGTATTTTGTTTTGTTTTTGTTAAACTCTTTGTTTTTAACAAACAACCTGCCGTATCATTTCCTTATTTCGAAAATTTAAAGAGAAACCATTTTTCGTTCATTTTAAACAATATTTGAGGTCTTCACACCTAAATAAGTATATACTCCCTACTTCCCAACACCCTTTGCCATCCCTTTTAGCACCGAAGTAATGTACAGCAATGATGAATTAAATAACAGTTTTTTTTGTAACTAGTGATGAGCAGTTTGTATCCTATGTAAAATTGAAGTACATTGGTTGGCCAACCTAGAACATGATAGTCCTATGTAAAACATTTGAATGTTTAAAAGTAAAAGAAGCAGTATGTTCCATCTATGCACTGATTTTGCGACACTGAAACAGCTAATATAAGATCTATGTAAGAACCCCACATTACTGTTTCAATTGAGGATTTTTTTGTTACTTTTCATAGCATGAGGTTACTTTAAATATTCCATCCTTCGCGTGAATATTTACTGAAGTAAAATTTGTCAGGAATTCAAAGAGAATTCAAAATGCATTTAAATTTGTCAGACATAATTGAACTGGATGCATAGCTGGAGATTTTTTTCGTTCAGTTCAACAATTGTGGCCCTGAATGTAAAATTACTTTGAATTCCCTACAATTCTCACTTTGATAAATAACTCTATAGGTGTATCAGTGCAGGAAAGTTCTCGAATGTGCTAAAGGGGAGCACATATTTAAAGTATATGTATAAATGTGTCACTTTGTACTACTCAGTTGCTATAGATTTTCTTGTTTTTTTTATAATTCCCGAAACAAGAACTTAGAACTGGGCATAGGACAAAGTCACATCTCCAGACACCTCCATCATGTCAATCTGGGTGACCGGCAGACGATGAACGTAGGTGAAAACTTTTGTTCCGTTTACGTAGACACCAAAACAGGCTCCTTCATTTCTGATCTCCATCTGTGATGGGTGGGAAAGGACAACATATAGTAAGATGGCATTGAGTACTGATACACAAAGATACACATCAATTTTTAGGGCTAAAGTATGTGAACAAGAGGAGGATAAATACTCCTGTGAAAAGAACACGGGAAAGAGAAGAGGGGGAAATAGAGGACCAAAGAGAAAGTAAGAGAGGGGAGAGAACAAAGAAGAATTAGAGAAAAAGCCCATACCAATTTTTAACTTTTCGGAAAAATTTGTAACAGACACTTAATGTCAGTTTTAAGGAAAGGTTTTAAATTTGCGCCTAGTTGTGATGCGGATAAGTTTGAAAGTTTTTTAGATCTTAACAGGTTTTTACGAAAACTATGCTTAAAAAAAGTATTTACAAAAATTTTATGGAGAAAGAAGAGATAATTAAAGATAATTATAAAACATACTGATTTAAAACAAAAATTTTCATTCTAGCCGTATAATCAAAAATCTGATGCAATGAAAGTTTTTGAAAAATTATATTTTCAAGAAATTAAAATCACCAAATAAAAATCTAAATAATTTAACAAGGAAAGAGAACGAAGCACTTAAAGACTAAAGGAAGATAAATCTATTGTGATAAAGCCCACAGATAAGGGCGGGGGGGAGGGAGGGCTTAGTAATTTGGCAAAAAACTAAATATCTGGAAGAAATACATAAACAACTCAATGATAGAACCACTTATTTGAAACTAGATAGTGATCCATTAAAAAGAATAAAAGAAGAACATGTAATCTTTTTTTTTTTTTTTAAAAGGGTTTGAAATAGGTATTTTAAATAAAAAGGAATATACATTTATAAATGTTGATTTTCCTAAAATTTCAGTTATTTATATACTACCTAAGATACATACAGATACTACAAACCCCCCTGGGAAGGCCAATTGTATCTGGTATAGATTCACTTTTGTCCCCTTTATCACAATATATTGATACATTTTTACAAAATTTAGTCAAACAGCAACCAACTTATCTTAAATACACAATGAGTTTATTAACTATTTAAAAAGATTTTAATTGGGAAAATGGCCACCTGTGATGTCAGTAGCTTGTACACGAATATAGCACATGATAAAAGCTGTACAGCTACTAGACATTTTTTAGAAAAAATTGGTGACTTTGATAAACAACAAGTGGTTTTTATTTTGAAGGGGATTAATATGATTCTAAAGAATAATTTATTTTGGTATGAAAATAAATTTTATTTACAAATTCAAGGCACAGCTATGGGGATTAGGTTTGCCCCGAGTTACGCTAATTTGTTTATGTCACATTGGGAGGAGACTTTTGTCCTACCTAGCATTGACTCTTGGGCAGGCCTAGTCCTCTATAAGCGTTACATCGACGATATTTTTATTAAATGGAAAGGGAGTAAAAGTCCCCCGGGTGGATTTCTTTAGATACGCTTAATTCCAATTATTGGAATATTAAACTCACCTGTGACATTAGCGATCAATCTATTAAGTATTTAGATTTGGATGTTTTTATTGAACATAAGCAGATTAAAAGTAAAACTCATTTTAAAAAAGTCGATGTTAACAGTTTTATTGATTTGAAAAGCTGTCATTTTAAACCCTGGGTTGTAAACGTACCAAAATGTCAATTTCTTAGGTTATGTAGAAATTGCACAGAGCTTAAAGACTATCAAGATCAATCACTCATTTTAAAACAACAATTTTTAGACGAAGGTTATGATCCTATTTTTATTGATAACAGGCTTATAAAGATAACATTTTAAGCAAATCCAAGATGGTTTGAATGAGGGCTTTGAAATAAGGTCATTTTTGTAATAATTTTGTTCTATTTTACACACCTTATATTTATAAATTAATTTTTATATATAAGTTTTCTAAGTATTGGTATGTTTTATTATTATTATTTATTTTTATATACTAGCTTTTCTGAACCCCTTTTTTCCCCTTTTGCTTTATATATATTGTCTTTATGGATATACTATGCAAGCTCCTTTTTCCAATTATTAGAATGTACAGACTTGATTCACGTTGGACTTTGTTTACAAGTCAGCGCACATGCGCATCGATAGGAGTCACTCTAATGCGTTTCATGCCGGACTGACGGATCAAACCCGATCATGTGATCGGATAAGCCAGAAATATGTCACCAACTAGAGACTTGCACCACCCGCTGACCCAGAGGTGATGCACGCGGAAGTGACATACCCGGATATTTAAGAATGGACAGTGATCTGGAGACCTCACCAAGTGCTTTCAGAAAGACTATTGTGTCGAAACGCGTTAGTGCGGTTGCTTATTGGAGATCTTTATTTTATTATATATTTTTATTCATCTTATTAAAGTTTTTTCTGACTACCTTTTACGAACCCCCCGTTTTTTTTGCTCTCTGGCAATCCAAGGGGGAGTACCTGATCTCAGCAACTAACTATATATATCCCAAGGCGCTTAAAGTCTGAGCCCACTACAAATGGCCCAGTACCACGTGAGTGGGACCAATTTGTTTTAATCTGTTTTAAAGTACTGTATACAGATTTCACAATGATCTGTTGTTTCTTGTTTTTTTAGGTTTTATCCTATTTGATGGTAATTTGCATGTGTGTGTGTTATTTCATACGTTTTTAGTGTGCTCTCACCAACTTTTTATTCACAAAGAACATCAATTCATCGAACTCCATCCTCTCACCTGAAAGTTTTGCCCGGGTGAAAATGGCATGTAAGACATGTGTCTCTCTTCAGGTCCCCAAGTGCCTCTGTCCTGGGTGTTTCTCACTAATGCCCCTTCCCGAAATCTAGGATTTATATGGAGGTAGATATTCCTAGTTCTGCTGTTCAGTAGGTTAACGGCAAACCTGCAAGTGTAATAAACATAAAATAATATGAGTAGATAGGATAGGACAAAAAATATATACATAGCCAGTACAAACATCTCTCTAATTAACAGGACTGTACAAAGGACAAAGAGTCACCCACTGAGACTTGAAGAAAATAGACATTTCTTACATTATAGCAAGAACAGAAGACAATCAATCTTTAAATTCTGTATATGTTTGAAAATCCCTTTTTTTTGTAATTAGAATATTTATTGAAGACATATTTTCCCATTTTTTGGCACAATTGGAAATCTCTTCACATTTAGTTTTTTTTTTTTGTTTTTTTTAATATCTTTTGGATCAATATTAGAGACGGATGAGTGAAAGGCTGAATTTGAGTCTTTTTTTCATCTTATGTAATTATATCTACCCTACTTTAGATTTAGATCTTGTGATATTACTTACTTACAGAAGAGGAACATCTGCAGAATTGACACTTTTAGTACATGAAATAACTATATATTCTGTATGGGGGGAGGTGGGCATGGGCTAGGACAGAAGTGAATAAAAAATGAGTCCCGCTTTACGAGGACACCTGAAAAACGTGAGGTCATAGTATTGTGCCCCATCTGAGTTAAATCTGACGGCTATCTGGAGATTTGCTCCTCCTTCTAGAATTCATTAGATGTTAAACTTTTCTTGATTTGTACGATAATATAGATGCACAGGGTAGCAAGTTTATGCTATTTGGACATTGCAATGTAAACTTTGCAGGTTCATCTGACCAAACTCACTGTTTAATGAGACACAAAGCAGCCCAAATTCTCACCCAGTCTCGCAAACCGCTAGAAATAGAAAATGGGTATTTAACTTCAAACTCACTTGTCTGCTCCATAGCTTACAACCCCAGCGAGGACGATATTACGGTTCTGGAGAAAAGTCCCCTGCAGAGCACTTTGGAAGGGCATCATCTGTTCAAAAACATAGATTATTAAGACTTATTTTTTTATAAAAAGGGGAGAGTGTGAAACACCCCTCTCTGGAAATGTATCCCTAAATAATAATAATAATAATAAAGTATTTAACCAGGAAAGGTACATTCAGATTACTCTGGTTTTCAAGTACGTCACAAGAATATACATGTTTTAGGGACTCCTCAATGTTGTAATTTTGTATCATTCTAACAGTACGTGAAAGGGTAATGGCACCTGATCAGAGGATGTCTAATTTAGCTGTCTGCATTAAATAGAGCAGTTTGTGAGTATAACAGGTTGTCAATGTATCAGACTGTTCAGGTATGGCTGACTAAATCAGGAAGAGATTCACTCTCACTCAAATGAATTGCAATGGTACGTCACACCTTCACCTATGGCGTTAATTATAGACTGTATAACACTCTGTCAGTCTTCACCAATGGCAAAAAACACATCATATATTTACTGTGATCTGTGAAGGAATGGCAGTAATACAGAATGAATGGATGAATAAGCCAGACACTCCTTAAATATTCACATATTTAGGAAAAATAGAGAAAATTCTGTATATTTTCCTGATAAAATAATATTTATATATAAATATTCATACGTACCGGATTATGAATAGTCACAGGACCCTGCTAAAAAGGATAAGCAAGAAGTTTTATATTTCATCAAATGATCAGCACATAAAATTACTTCAACATTTCAAAGTTAAAGTCTGTAAGATAATGCAAATTCAAAACTCCGTAAGACATAAGACATTATAATATTCTTTAGAAGAGGGGCAGAAATGGTGAGGACCCAAAACCACGGTAAAAGATCTAAAAACTATAAACTGAAAAACCACTAAACTGAACTCAAATGTAAAGCAGGATTCTCGCACATGATATCTGAATGTTGCCAAATAAAGCTGTTAAAGGAACACTCAACAAACCAAAATCTTTTCACCTCGCCGAACTGCATTATGGGGTAATTGCCTGACCCGTTTTTATATAAAAGTGCCAATTTCAATAGGAATATGGAGTATTCGCCATATGTTTCCAGTGCTTTAATATACATCTGACAGGACCAGAGATTATTATAATTGATCACCTCACGGGTGGATTGGTCTGCAGTCTGTCTCTGTGGTGCATTAGAGGTAAAATATATATTTTTTTTACATTTTATTTAATAAAAAAGGAAGGAGTGCGGTGGCCGAAAAAACCCAAATCATTCGACCACGAAAGTCACCCAGACCACTTCAGCTCAATGAAGTGGCGTGAGTGCCTTGGTCCTGTATGTTTAACTCTTTGAGAAACTGCAATGTTTACATTACAGGGTTAAACACACCTCCAGTGACTGTTCAACTGACAGAGAGAGAAGGAGGTTCACCGACAGTGGAGATAAAGTGGGAGGCTCGGAGAAGGAAAAAAAGTTGATTTTTAAAAAAAAACCTTTATATGCCAAATTGATGTGATTTATCAGGTTTGGAATGTTCAAGAAAAGTCATGAAAGAACACCAGAGAGTAGCGCAATATTGTACAAAATACAGAATAAAAATAGCAACTGATTTCAGTAATATATCTCTGAATCCATTTATAAAATAACAGAATTATTCACTAAAATTACAATTGTCTGGAATTCAAATAGAATTTTTCATTTAAGGTCAAAATAGTTGGACTGGAAAAGTTCTCAAAGTCAAATATGTTTCCACTTCAACTACTTTGGCCTTAAATTTGAAATTCACTTTGACTTCCTGACAATTCTCCTTTTAGTAAATAACCGTGTGATGTCTGTCTTATTAAAGGGTTCTCCTTTTTGTAACTATGGTTTGTTGAAATAAAAGAATTTAACAAATTTTGCCTAATCAGGACTAAGTAATCACAAAACCTAGTTAACGAGAGCAAATTAATCCGTCAAAATTGTAAATTGGAAAGTTATAGGTTGCTGAAACACAGTTGGTCTACTCAAACACCATCTCTGCTACTCTCGGTAGAAGCATTGATGATCGCCGAATGACCGCACTTATTTGAACTACTTCATCACCTACAATTTTCAGACAGCTTCATCACAGCCATCTCAGCCTTATATTGGCCTCCCGGTGCCCAGATTCTGATCGCAGGTGCTCCCCTTTATCTATTTTTAATGGTACCCGCCTCTGATGCCTGTTCTCTGGAATCCCTCATAGTTCACATCTGAATGCAGCAGGTTCAGAGCATAGGATCTCCGCTTATGTAGGTGACCGTATTCTAGCACTCACTCACCGTGACACTTCCCTCCCAACCCTGTTCTCCATCCTTAGCAATTTTTCCCTCTGTAACATGATATAAGGTTAATATTGACTTTGGTGGCTGTCTCCGAGCACCTCTCTACAATAATATAAAATGAATGCAATTAAAATAATTTAAAAAAAACAAAACAAAAACGTGTACTGGAAAGTGGTTCGATGGACTCTGTTTACATAACCCCTTATTGGCTGACTGCTTTAAAGAGAGGAGGGGAGATTAGCAGCTTCTAAATTAAACCCAAGTGCCCTGATATTCAACGTTTTACGCAATAAACAGGGAGTTTCACTTGAAAGACTGAAGCCGAAATAGCCAATCTGGGGGGGAAATCCTAAGAAGGCTGAATTGGAATTTTGGTTTTTATAACTCTGTAAAAAAATGTGGAACTTGTTTGTTGTCTTATCACATAGTTATTTAGTGAATTTCATCCATAGCTATAGAAATGGAAAGCTGAAATTCAGAGGGTGATTAGATACTTCAGCTTACTTGATTGAAGAGATGGAAGTGAGTGGGAAGACTTCCTGGCAGCAAGAAAATGTTATAAAGGAGAGAGTGGGAATGTGTACCTTAAACAAGGAGTGCTTTATACCTACAACAGAGAAGGGTAGATAATGTAGACCAGGAGTGCCTTAACGGTATATCCCCAGATGTTTTAGATCTGCAACTTCCACAATATATTGCTTTTATAAAGCTTGGAGGGAAAGTCATGGGAGCAGAGTTCTACAACACCCTGGGGTCTACCATTTGTATCTGCTGTACACAATACATAGGGGATCTCCATAGAAAAAGGCTGAAAACTTACCATAGGACTAAATGCAGGTGGCATCGCCATGCTTGGCATCTAATAATGGTAAAACAAGAAAAAAGGATGTCATTACGGAGTACAGTTTTTACAAGTGTTCAAAACAAACTGATATGATCACTGTTTGAAAACTGATCTGTTCCTGCATTTAAGGTGTCTTTATGTTTGCTTCTTATCCCTGTTTAATTTAGAACACAGCAAATAGCAACATTGTAACTGTAATTCCATGACTTTGTAGAGTGCCCTCTTCTGCTTGTCAACTGGACATTTCACCCTCCAGGCAGGGGCGGCAGCATGTGTCACCTTATGGTAGTACTGGTCCTTCAATTGGACCCTTATTCTGCGTTGGACATAATTCAGAAACATTTTATGTTTTTCTGTGAAGTTACATAATTCAGGAAGATGTGACGTTATCAGGAAGCATTGATGCCCTTATTCAGGGAAAAGTGATGTCATCACGGAAGGTATGGCATCATTACGGGAGTAGTGACATTTTTTTAGTTGGTGTGATGTCATTCAGGAGATGTGATGTCATTCATTAAGGTATGTTGCTGCATGTGCCCAGTTTAAATAAAGGGTGCTTGTCTCAAGAGGCTGTTTTATTGGGGTGGTCCAGGCTTTGCATCATTGACAATAACATTCCTGCAATCCCTAATATGTTCGGTTGCTTTGGATATTTACCACAATTCCAAATTTAGTTAATGAGACTCAGCAGCCTAACTAATTAGAATTCGGCATGGACTGAGTGTAAATTCCTATACGCCAATTGGTGTTGCTCTCCCATGCGTGAAAACTCTTTTAGGGTTGTTCACTACACTGTGAATTGCCAGGAATTCAAAGTGAACTTTGTTTGAAGCCAAAATAGCCAAACCAAAAACTTAGCTGAGATTTTGTGCCCTAAACTTCCGAAACCACCTTGAATTCATTCTGATTTCCTGACAATCCAAACTTTAGTGAATAATCATGCTTGGTTTTCTTTCAACACATACGTGTCCAAGAACTTTGCTATACTTTTTCAGTGGAATGGAGAATTTTTACATCAACTGTACACTCCGTTCTGTCCACTCCGTCTTGTTGACATGGTCATACCTGTACCCCCATCTTCCTGTCTATGTGGAGAGTGTTGAAAAAAATCCACATAGAAGCAACAAGGGCTTCTGTAAAGGTATTAAATAAATGAGCAATAAAATGAAGTGATTGTGCAATGTGTGTTTTACTACAAACTCGTTTTGTTGTATTTGGTTTTATTTAGAGCAATTAGAGGAATTAAAATATATTTTTTTTAATTAAAGTCAGTGCACCTAAATGTCCTGCTTTATAAGGGACAGTCTTTATTTCTTTGGAACCCAAATCCTTCTCATTATCTTTTCTATCCTAAAGCTTTTTTTCCAATGACCTCTGAATTATGGGGTAAATGTGTGATGGAGATAAGCGACAAGAGTATAGGAAGGAGAACACTTGAGAGGTATGTTTAGTCGAATAATCAATATTTGCCAATTCATTTTTGATGTCCTACTTTTGTTATGTATTTTTTTCCTTTGAATTACTTGCCCTCTTCATCCAACATTGAGTTCCTTACTATGTTACATTTTTCCATACATTGTAATATGGAGATAAATTCCTTCAAAGGGCTGAAAACTCACCAATGGTGCTGAATATGCAGGAGGTGCAAACGCACTTGAAACCTAAAGCAAGACAAAATTAACAACTTTCCTCATCATGGGTTAGAACATGGGCATTGGAATAGGGAGTACTGTCCGCATTACGAGTTAGAACATGGATATGGGAGTAGCTAGTAATGTCTTCATCATGAGTTAGAACATGCACTACAAGTTAGAACATGCACGTGGGAGTAGGAAATACTGTCCTCCTAACGAGTTAGAAGATATACATGGGAGTAGTTAGTACTGCCCTCATCACGAGTTAAAACATAGACATGGGAGTAGTTAGTACTGTCCTCACTACAAGTTAGAACATGCACGTGGGAGTAGGAAGTACTGTCCTCATAACAAGTTAGAACATAGACAAGGGAGTAGTTCGTATTGTCCTCCTCACGAGTTAGAACATAGACATGGGAGTAGTTAGTACTGTCCTCATCACAAGTTAGAACACAAACATGGGAGTAGTTAGTACTGTCCTCATCACAAGTTAGAACATAGACATGGGAGTAGTTAGTACTGTCCTCACTATGAGTTAGAGCATGCACGTGGGAGTAGTTAGTACTGTCCTCAATATGAATTAGAACATGGACATGTGAGTAGTTAGTACTCTCCTCATCACAAGTTAGAACATAGACATGGGAGTAGTTAGTACTGTCCTCACTATGTGTTAGAGCATGCACGTGGGAGTAGTTAGTACTGTCCTCAATATGAATTAGAACATGGACCTGGGAGTAGTTAGTACAGTCCTCATCACAAGTTAGGACATGGTTATGGGAGTAGCTAGTAATGTCTTCATCACGTGTTAGAACGTGGGAGTAGTTAGTACTGTTCTCAACATGTGTTAGAACATGGACATGGGAGTAGTTGGTACTGTCCACATCATGAGTTAGAACAAGGACATGGAAGTAGTTAGTATTGTCCTCTTCACGAGTTAGAACATGGACATGGGAGTTGTTACTACTGTCCACATCATGAGTTAGAACAAAGACATGGAAGTAGTTAGTACTGTCCTCATTACGAGTTAGAACATGGGCATGGGAGTAGGAAGTACTGTCCTCATAACAAGTTATAACATAAACAAAGGAGTAGTTAGTATTGTCCTCATTACGAGCTAAAACATAGACATGGGAGAAGTTAGTATTGTCCTCATCACAAGTTAAAACATGGACATGGTAGTAATTGGTACTGTCCTCATTATGAGTTAGGACATAGGTGTGGGAGTAGGAAGTACTGTCCACATAACGAGTTAGAACATAGACAAAAGAGTATTGTCCTCATTACAGGTTGGAACATGGACCTGGGAATAGTTAGTACTGTCCTCCTCACAAGTTACAACATGGGAGTAGTTAGTACTGTCCGCATAACAATTTAGAACATGGACATGGGAGTTCATAGTACTATCCTTAACACGAGTTAGAACATGGACATAGGAGTAGTTAATACTGTCCACATCATGAGTATGAAAAAGGACATGGAAGTAGTTAGTATTGTCCTCATCACAAGTTAGAACAAGGCTGTAAGAGTACATATTACTATCCTCATCATGAGTTAGAACACAAAATACTGATCTCAATAAGTGTTAAAATTCTCTTCTTATCACAAGTTGGAACTTGGACATGGGAACAGGAAATACCATCCTCATCACAAGCTGGAACATGGAAATGATATATTGTCATCATCGGGAGTTAAAACAAAGACATTGAAACAGGAGATACTATGCTCATCACACTTTAAAACATGGACATGGGAACAGGAGATACTGTAATTCTCCAACATGTTAGAACATCCATATGTGAACTGGAGCTATTGTCCTCAACACATGCTAGAACATGGTATATTGTTATCATCAGGAGTAAGAACATGGACTTGAGAACATGAAACACATTGATGGTTACGAGTTAAATTATGGACATAGGAACAGGAGACACTGTCCTTTTATACAAATAAGGGACTGTGCATGCTGATAATAATTGGATGTTGCCTATGGCACCTTATAGACCGATCCAGACTCCTATCCAGAAGATAAAGAAAGGGAAAGAGTTCTGGCACACAAACGTCGTGCAAGAGCAGACTTCATTGGATTAAGGAGCAGGCCTTAATGTGCTTTTAGAAACTTGTATGCCTGGACCTTTTTATTCATTTATCTATTTCATTATAAGTTATTACATGGCCTTTGGAAAAGAAGACTTTCTTCACCATCAAGAGTTAGAACATGAACTTGAGAACAGAAGATACTATCCTTATTGTGAGTTAGAATACAGTCATCGACAAAAGAACATAACATTTGGTGTTATTAGTTAGGGAATTCAAGTTAGCCATAATCATTTAGAAAATGAACAAGAGAACACAAGGTTCAGGCATTATAAATAGAACGGGTACGGGAATGAGATCAAAATTGATATTATTACTATGGAGCCCTTGTGTATGAGGATAATTCCTGAGAACATTCCTGGTTATTTTTCAGTAGACCACATCAAAACACTGGTTAATTTTTGTTTAAAGCACCCACAAGCTATTTGCAATGTAGCAGTGAATCCTGGCATCATCATACCGTTAGCTACCAGCCACAGAGCAAGTACCCGTGACACCACCCAGCGCTATGGCTAATTAGCAGAACAGCAAGCAATGTTAGTTGTCAACATGTATTTGATTATAAAGCAAAAGATCCTATCTTCATCATGCCTTTGGTTTTTGGCAATAAAAATAGTGCATAAGCAAGATCAAAACTACTGTTACTGCCAGCTCCTATAATATAAATGTAAGTAAACATGTTAGTATTGTAAGAAAAATAAAATAAAACGTTATCAAGAAATCATATAGGGACATTATCAGATCTGAAATAATTCAGTACACAGTGTTAGTACACTGGCAGCCCGGACAGGAGGACAGCAATGTCACAAGTTGTTGGGACTTTGTAACTCTTAATGAGTGACCTATTTGTGCATAATATTCAGGAAGCGATATCATGACCAAAGATGACAGTGTGCTGACTGCGCGATAGGAACGGCTAAATAAAGTGAAAGCGATGGTGTAAGTAACCACCCACCACCAGATGCTGGAATACTCACAAAGCTTTGGATCATGCTATAAGGAGGTGGGGCGAGTAAACTTTGCTCCTGAAATTGCAATATAAAGGAAAATTGAAGAAGAATCTGAGAATTACGATAGTAAGAAAAAAAAAGTGACCTGTTTTAAGGCTATGAAGCCACACACCTGGTTGCCATATTCATCGGGTCTTCAGATGGTTAAAATGTTAAAAGCACAATGAAAGTAAAACAAATTAGTGTGCAATGGCATGATTAGAAGACTAAGCGTAGTCCCTTGGTAAAGTCATCATAGGCAGCCATATTATAAACCAAAGTCTCAAATTGTACAATTATAACCAAAGGTAATGTAAATGAGGGGTTAGTTGTATAAGGTTCAGGGGCAAGCTTGCATTTAGGATTAACCCCGTGGAAGCCAGAAAGATAACCCTCTGGTACTTGACTGCTTCTCGTTCCTTCACTGACAAGGACTGGAATGTGAGTGCATGGGTGACAGTTACGGTTACAGTTAAGATTCCACCATACAGATAAGAATAATCAAAGGGTAAGAGATAAGGTTTGGACCCATAAAATGTATCCACTAATCTGAATTAGGTAAACTGACTATATACACTCCACTTAGCAAAGGATTTATTAATGCAGTTTCCCCCCCGCAGATTATCTTCACAACATTTCATGTACTGGTATCACATTGTGATAAGCACCAATTTGCTGTATCCATCGACATAGGCGTGCGCAGCCTATTGCATTAGGGTGTGCACCCTAAAGCACAAACACACGTCGCGTGTATATGTATGTGTGTACACACACATACACACACACACATATATATATATATATACACACACATACACTGCTGTGTGTGTGTGCTGCGTGAGGGTGGTTTGAGGGTGTTGTGTGTGTAAGGGTGCTGTGTGTGTGTGTGTGTAAGGGTGCTGTGTGTGAGGGTGCTGTTAGTGTGATGTGTTTGTGAGGGTGTTTGTGTGTGTGTGTGTCTTTGTTAGAGTCCTGTTAGTGTGCTGTGTGTGTGTTTGTGAGGGTGCTGTGTGTTTGAGGGTGCTGTATGCTGTATACTGAGGTGTGCTGTGTGTGCTGAGGGTGCTGTATGTGTGTGGGTGCTGTATGTGTGAAGGTGCTGTATGTGTGTGCTGTGTGTGTGTGCTGTGTGTGTGCTGTGTGTGTGTGTGTGTGCTGTGTGTGTGGTGCTGTGTGTGTGTGTGTGTGTGGTGCTGTATGTGTGAAGGTACGCTGTGTGTGTGCTGTGTGTGTGTGAGGGTGCTGTATGTGCGTGGGTGCTGTATGTGTGTGGGTGCATGTGTGTGAGGGTGCTGTATGTATGTGTGTGTGTGTGTGTGTGTGCTATATGTGTGTGTTGTATGTGTGTGTTGTATGTGTGTGTGTGCTGTATGTGTGAAGGTGCTGTATGTGTGTGCTGTGTGTGTTTGTGTGCTGTGTGTGTGTGGTGTATGTGTGTGAGGGTGCTGTATGTGTGTTTGTGTGCTGTGTGGGTGTGCTGTATGTGTGTGTGGGTACTGTATGTGTGCTGTATGTGTGGAAGGTGCTGTATGTGTGTGCTGTGTGTGTGTGTGTGTGTGTGTGTGTGCGGGGTGCTGTGTGTGTGTGTTCAGTGAGTGTGTGTGTGGGTGCTGTATGTGTGTGTGTGCTGTGTGTGTGTGCTGTATGTGTGTGAGGGTGCTGTATGTGTGTGTGTGCTGTATGTGTGAGGGTGTTGTATGTGTGTTTGTGTGTGTGTGTGTGCTGTATGTGTGTGAGGGTGCTGTATGTGTGTGTGTGCCGTATGTGTGTGCTGTGTGTGTGTGTGTGCTGTATGTGTGTGTGTGCTGTATGTGTGTGTGTGTGTGTGTGTGTGTGCTGTGTGTATGTCTGTGTGTATGTGTGTGCTGTATGTGTGTAGGTGCTGTGTGGGGGGTGGAGGTGGGGGTACATTACTTAATATCCCCCCTCCCTTCTTACCTTATGTAGGGAGGGGGGATTCTTGTTCCTGCTGCTTTCCTTGGTGGTCCAGTGGAGTGTGAACTCTAGCCCCTGTGGGGATAGAGTTCACTCTTGCGAGATCTGAGCGTTGCTGCATTAACGCTCAGATCCCGCGAGAGGAACTCGGCAGAGCTGCTGGTTGAGCTCCCCGGGTCCTCTCCTGCCTCCCTCCATGCTGCAGTGGGGAGGGAGGCTGAGAGCAGAGCCGGCGCTCGGATAGCGAAGCCTCTGCATGAGCCGACAGTGGAGATCCTGAGATCTCCCCTGCCGGTCTCACTCCATAGGGGTGCCGCGGGGATTAGGGTGTGCCCAGGCACACCCCGCACACCCCGTGCGCACACCTATGTCCATCGAGAGATTCCCCCCTGAGTATCTGATAATGAGGAAATCACAGGTATGACAAATTAACGTCATCGGTCTCCTCTAGCTGGAGAGGATTTAAAGAACAAGTCTTTATAAACAAGTCATTCTGCATAAGATACTCTAAAGCTCACTTCATACTTGAGTCCAAATATCCACATCACTTAAGGACTTCAAAACAAAGGGCCATTGGCGAGAGAATCCAATCATAAGAATCTAACGTTATCTAGGAGTGGGATTAATGACTGCTCCGGAAAGACTTGAGGGGTCATTGGTTTGGCTAGACATATGGATTCTTAATGCATCACCCCAATACAATGTACTGCAGAATGCGTTGGTGCCTAGTGGCCAAATAACGGCGTATGCCTCCAGAACTCACCATAGGCCCAGAGAAGGTGACACAGCTGAGATTGACATCCCCACTGACTTGAACTGACTGGATGGTTTGGTAAGACAGACGGTGACGATATTCCAGTAAAAATTGCCCATTTGCTGTGACCTGGAAGACATCAAGACAAGTAATCCATTAAAAGGGATAGTAGACGCTGATAAATATTAAAGAGTCAGATATGGAATATATGGGAGTCTCATGCTAATCAGCAAATAAAAACTAAAATTTTAGCATTTTTTTTTTCAGTCTGCCTGAATTATCCTTCATGTTTCTAGAGGAATCTGGATTCTGATTTTACAAGTTGATATTAATGAGGAGCAGACAGTGGGTGTGAAAGGGGGTTGATGGGTAAATACTAGTTAACATCACTTTGCCTGTAAAGAACCCTGCTTACTAATGTGCTAATAAGGATTCTGATATTAACTAAATTAGTACTATTTAAGAGCATGTTCTGTGTGCCAACTGGCTGGATAAGGCTACTGATTAGACAAAGCAAATCTTGATACATTTACCAGATCGTGGAAAGACAGGTGTGAATGGTGTGAATGTTACCATATTAACTTAAGACACATACCTGGAAAGCGTGTCCTAGCACAGTGATGGCTATGTCGAAGTACGTGCTCTTACGAAAAGGCATATTTCCTTTCCTTTCTTCAGAGCCCCACTGGTTCCCCTGCTGGGTGTTGCACACAATGACATTTCCCTCATCAAATCGTGGGTTAAAGTGAAACGCGATGTCATTGTTGAACGAGACAAAGTTTACTGCAAACCTACAAGAAGAAAGAACATTAAAGAATGTCCCTGTTAGATAAAGTCTTCTTTAGCCAATGTCTCTACATCAGCATTAAATAGAAGGCCTATTTTTTCATGAGAGAGAGGAACAGTGCTCGTGAAGTTAGTGGAAGTGAAGTCACCAAGCTCCATTTTTAAATCTGATGGTTTATATTTAATAAAAGAGAGCAGAACTCTCTGGGTTATCAGCAATTCACACCCTACACATAGCTCTTTGTTTTTCAGTCTTTCGCTAGGAACCAAGATCTTTAGTTACTCCCTCTTCAAATAGAACGTGGAACATAGCAAATTCTTTTCTCAATACCAGCTTTGTTAGACTCTTTCCTGGGTCTCCATTGCTCCGGGTAAGGCATTGCTACGACAGTAACCAATTCATTGTGTGCAGTTGTCTGTGGCCCAATGAACGAGAGGTGCACTGGAAATGGGCCAAATGATGAAAACTGACCTTAAGGTTATGAAGCACTGCTTTAAGAGATAGTAAGGGGCTGTCAGGCACCAATGCTCAGAATAAGAGAATTTGTCTGTGAGTCTGAGGGGTTATTAACTAAACTGTGCAAAAAAACTAAAACAGCCATTTGTGACAATAGCTGAGTTGGAGAGTTTTTCCAAATCGGCTATTTTGGCTTTTTTTGGCTGGGAGGATGTCAGATCCTTTTAATCCCTTGTGTCAAATCTACAGATACACCAACTGATTCGTCTTTCAGTAAATTCTAATTATTGGCCAAAATAGCAGTGTTTTGAAAAATGATCCATCACAGTTAATATTTGCCCAAAGTTTGAAATTCCTGACAATTCCCAATGTAACGAATAACCCAGCTTATGTCTTGTGAGTGTCTCTCTGTGAAAAGCAAAACACACTCTCAGGTACTCTCGGGGAGTATAAATACAAAAACGACCACATCAGCCCCAATACATACAGTAAAAACCAAAGAAAAAGTACTCTCTTGGAGTATGTCTGTCTCTCTGTTGGGAGAAACAGTCTTAGGTACTCTTTATATGTCCATTTCTCTCTCTTCTGGGTGAAGAATTACCATTCATGTACTCTCTATTCCTGTCTCTCTCTCTCTGATAGAAGGGCAGTCTAGTGTACTTTCAACCTGTGTGTCTGTCTCTTTGCTGTAGGAAGGACAGTCCTACAGTTTTACTCACTTCTTGGCGTGAGCGCGTGCTTGCCCCTGGATGACCACTCTCTTGCCTTCAGAAATACCCCCGAGTATTGCACTCTGGAAGGGCACAGTCTATGAAGAAAAGAGAAATATATTGAGTCACATTGTTACCAATAATTGAAGGCATTCACCTGACACAGGGGAGAGTAGTTACTTTATATTCGCAGTATTTATCAACATTGAGGCACATTTATTTATCCAGGAATTGCAGAAAACTGACAGACAGACTGAAAATTGTAAGAAAAAAAATTATTCTCTGATAAACTAACTACATTGGAATTTTTGTCTCGTTCAAGTATTGCGGCCAAGAATTTTCAATGGGCTTTTTAGTTTTCCAATATACTCAGTATGGTAATAATCCCCTATCAGGGTTATTCAATAAACCATGAATTCACCAAGGAACTGCGCATTTAAGATCAAAATTCCCAAACTAGAAAAAAGTCTTCTCTTCTTTGTACGCCTTTATCATCAGATTGTTTTTTTGTTTTTGTTTTTTAAAACATCTTTTTTTTTCATTTTATTGTGAATGGAACCAGTCAAGAGCCGGGCATCAGCTGTTTTTTGCAGCATTAGTACAGACAGTGACAGATACGCACACTTGCTGTCATTGCTCCTTCTAGAGCACAGTATTTTCCAATTAGGATGTCAAATCACCTTCCATACCAGCCACGCACTCCCAGACAAGGCAGGAGCAGTGGTAGACAGTGGGTTTACAGTACTGTCACCGCTCCAGCACCATCACGCCCTCTACTGCCCAGTGAGGAGTAAGACATTAGCCTGCTTCTCCCTAGGGTTTACCTAATCTCCTTCTAACAGAATTCATTTGTGAGACTCTGTAAGTGTGCTTATGTGTGTCTAACTGTTTTGTTTGTGAGTGTGTGTCTGTATGCAGGTTTATCTGTGTATGTGTTAGCCGGTACATGTGGATCTGAAAGTTGTTGCCTATTTCTACCAATGATTGTGGTGTAGGTGAGTGTGCACCACTGCCTATCTGTGTTTGTTTTGTTGATTATTTAGAAAGGAAGTTCAGACATCAAAGTGTGTGCAGGTGTCGATTTAATGGCAGTGTACAGCGGCAATAAAAATTGCTTTTATGTATTAGCAAGCATCATAACGTTTACACTGTGTCACCTGATAACTGGCACATACGGACTTTGTACTTCTTACTAAAGAACGGAATACACGTGATTGCTTTTATCAAGATCCACATGGTCATACCAAGAGAACTACATATCACTCTGGACAAACGTGGGACATAATTATGGATTTAGGTGAAAATAGCTTATTTTAAACACCCAAAAACAAGCACTCGAGAAAAGAGTCTAGTGTTCTTTCCCCCACATTTTATTAACAATTGTCCCTGTAAAGCAATGGTACTTACACTGAACAAAATTATAAACGCAACACTTTTGTTTTTGCTTCCATTTTTCATGAGCTGGACTCAAAGATCTTAGACTTTTTCTATGTACACAAACAGCCTATTTCTCTCAAACATTGTTCACAAATCTGTCTAAATCTGTGTTAGCGAGCACTTCTCCTTTGCCAAGATAATCCATCCACCTCACAGGTGTGGCATATCAAGATGCTGATAAGACAGCATGATGATTGCACAGGTGTGCCTTAGGCTAACCACAATAAAAGGCCACTCTAAAATGTGCAGCTTTATCACACAGCACAATGCCACAGATGTCGCAAGTTTTGAGGGAACGTGCAATTGGCATGCAGATTACAGTAGTCAAGGCGAGAAAGGACAGTGGAATGGACCAACACCTTAGTCGCATCTGGCGTTAAGTAGGGGTGGATGCGCGCAATGTTTTTGAGATGGAAATGACAGGATTTCACGATAGACTGAACATGAGGCTTGAAGGAGAGGTCGGAGTCAAAGAGAACACCTAGGTAGCGAGTCTCCGTGGTGGAGCTGATGGTAGCACCGTTGACTTGGAGGGAGACAGACACAGGAGTAACAACACTTGAGGGAGGAAAGACCAGAATTTCAGTTTTGGTCAAGTTTAGTTTAAGGAAGTGGGCAGCCATCCAGTTAGGAACAGCAGAGAGGCAGTCAGAGACACTAGTCAAGAGGGATGGGGAGAGATCAGGAGAGGACAGGTAGATTTGCATGTCACCTGCATAGAAATGATATTGGAAGCCAAAGGAGCTAATGAGTTTACCAAGGGAGGCAGTATAGATGGAGAACAGTAGGGGACCAACAGAGAGGAGTTGGGGAGAAGAAGCAGAGCCAGAGAAAGAAACACTGAAAGAGCACTGGGAGAGGTAGGAGGAGCACCAGGAGAGAGCAATATCTCGTAGACCGATATTGCGGAGGATGAGAAGAAGCTGTTGATGATCAACAGTGTCAAAAGCCGCAGACAGGTCAAGGAGAATTAGGATAGAGTAGTGACCACGAGATTTTGCAGCGAGTAGATCATTGGATACTTTGGTCAGTGCCATTTCCACAGAGTGCTTAGCGTGGAAACCAGACTGAAGCGGGTCTAGCAGAGAGTTGGACTCGAGGAAGTCTGTCAATCTCGCATACACAATTTTTTCAAGGATCTTGGATGCAAAAGGCAGTAGCGATATAGGATGATAGTTGGATGGGGAGTTAGGGTCAAGATTGGGCTTCTTTAGAATTGCGGTTACAGTTGCATGTTTGAAGGGCAATGGAAATATACCAGAGGAGAGAGAGAGATTGAGAATTTTAGTGAGAGGTGGAGAAAGAGAAAAAGACAGAGTACGGATGAGGTAGGAGTAGCACCAGGAGAGAGCAATATCTCGTAGACCGATATTGCGGAGGATGAGAAGAAGCTATTGATGATCAACAGTGTCAAAAGCCGCAGACAGGTCAAGGAGAATTAGGATAGAGTAGTGACCACGAGATTTTGCAGCGAGTAGATCATTGGATACTTTGGTCAGTGCCATTTCCACAGACTGCTTAGCGCGGAAACCAGACTGAAGCGGGTCTAGCAGAGAGTTGGACTCAAGGAAGTCTGTCAATTTCACATACACAATTTTTTCAAGGATCTTGGATGCAAAAGGCAGTAGCGAGATAGGATGATAGTTGGATGGGGAGTTAGGGTCAAGATTGGGCTTCTTTAGAATTGGGGTTACAGTTGCATGTTTGAAGGGCAATGGAAATATACCAGAGGAGAGAGAGAGATTGAGAATTTTAGAGAGAGGTGGAGAAAGAGAAGAAGACAGAGTACGGATGAGATGCGAGGGAATTGGATCTAGGGAGCAGGTGGTGGGGCGGGAGGACTGGAGCAGAGCAGAAACCTCTTCCAATGTAGCGGGTGCGAATGAACATAGAACAGCAGAGGGAGTGAAGTTAGGGAAAGTATTGTAAAGGGAAGAAGAATGATGAGAGATCTCGTCTCTGATTGTAGAGATCTTGTCAGTGAAGTGAGTTGCAAAGTCTGAGGCGGTTAAGTTAGTAGGTGGAGGAGGAACAGCAGGGCAAAGAGAGTTAAATGTGTGAAATAGTCGTTTGGGTTCGCGGGAGAGTGTGGTTATGAGGGTATTGAAGTAATTTACTTTTGCAGAGGAAAGAGCAAAGCTGTATGAGCTCAGCATAAATTTATAGTGGAGAAAGTCAGATGCACAGCGAGACTTTCTCCAACAGCGTTCAGCAATAACTATATAATGCCAATAATAATAATATACCCCTGGAGATTTCCTTATATAAGGAAATGTTCTTTTAAAAGTGATTGATAGAAATAACCCACCAAAAAAAGGGAAATTTGCATAAAAATGCATCCACTGATGTTGGACTTGGTAAATAGTTTAACACTTCATTTTAATGCAAATCACTCCTGCTGTCTGAGCATGATGGGATTTTTAAAATCAGATTTACATTTCCCGCCTTCTCTTTACTCCATTTCCTCCTGTAATGTTTTGCAATATCTTATCTTGTTTTTTACTGCTTTCACGATATCGGTGTATTCTGTTCCCCTCCCCCACGCACTTTTCATTTCTTTCTTATCCCTCTCCCTATGCATATGGTTTGTTTATTGAAGTCCATCCATTACTTCTGGTCCTGTTCAACACTTAACCCATTACATGCCCCATAGCAGCGTATTCCTTTATACGGTTGCCAAACTGGCCATGTTTTCACGGACACATTGGTGGTTATGTATAAAAATTTTGCATTTACTTTCATAGTAGCAGAAGTTTTAAAGGGACACTATAGGCACCCAGACCACTTCAGCTCATTGAAGTAGACTGGGTGCAGTATTCCAGGTCCCTTAACCCTAATTACCTTTGAGAGTTAACTCCACCTCTAGTTGCTGTCTACCAGACAGCCACCAAAGAAACTTCAGAGTCATTAGGCAACTTTCGCACTTTTTTCGCGCTATGCATGAGGACCTACAGCGCCACCCAAAACTCCATAGAAAGCAAAATATAATGCCATAATGCCATAGCAAAGAGCCATCATCGCGCATGAGCCGGAAGTATGGTATTCATGCTGTGCAGTTAATTCAATAATCATGTCTGAGAAAGCTATTCAAACAAAAACAACAGCATTGGTGGAACGTAACCTGAAACTTGGCAAGCTGTAACTTTCATAGGAATTTTGATCAAATCTTCCTGATTGCAGTTTAACCCTCTAACAACTAGTCATTGATATACCTCCATACCATAAAAATTTGTTGTGTGTGTATTTTTTTAAAGGAACCCTTGAGTCTGCATTGAAAGAGGAAATGTCACTTCCTCATTTAAAAAAAAAAAAGTGCTATAAGTTTTAAAAATTTTTTACATTTGTTAAGATTTTACCTACAACCTTTTCGAGCTAAAGGCTAGTAAATTATCTAAATTACTTGTGCAATATGCCACCGCTTTAGAAAAAAGGACGTTGAACCTGTCAAAGTATGGAAAAGCTGCAATAGTGTTTCATGGAGTAAAGGTAAAACAAATTTTAATTTCTCTGGAAGCGATAATTCTTCTTTAACCCATTATTATTATTATTTATAATTATTATTATTTTTTATTTTTTTACTGCATTATATAAAAGTGCATTAAAATATGAAAAAAAACAACAGGATAAAAATAATAATAATTTAAAAAAAAAAAGATAATCATTTTTGAAGTGCCAGCACTTGCTGCAAATCCCCAAGATTTGCAGCAATTTAAGTGATGAGCTCTTGCCATACCAGGAAGTGAATGATGTATTTGGAGGAGGTAAACTAATTATAATTTAAAAAAAAATAATAAATAAATTATTATTAATAAAAAATATATACCTAGCATAATTAAATGTGACTCGGCGTACACATTGCAGATAATTTGCACGGCGTCCGCTGTGTCCCTTAAAGGATCCATTACTAAAATGGAATGTCGCACTGGAATTACAAGTGACATACTATACTTTAGGGACTAGTGAGAGTTTACTGCAAGGTGTAGGATTTGGCACTATTGTGGTTAATTTTTTTTTTCCCCCATCAATCTATTGTTAAATGCAACGCAGGAAATATCAAATGTCTGGCTGTTCTCCAACTTGTTAATCAGCGTGATATGTGACAATAAAGGACAGGTATTGCTGTGATAAGAAAAGGAGATTTTTCGAATTACCTAGGTTTTTTTTTTTCAAGGTGTAAATTTTCCATTTTAGGCCAAAATAGTACATTTTGCATTTCCAAATCAGCAATGTTTTCGGTTCAGCTACTTTGGCCTGAAACTTAAAATTCACGTTGATTGTTGGAATATTTACACTTTGGTGAATAATCCTGCATGTTTTCTCGATTTACCGAGATGTACGACGGAACCTGAATATTGCTGCCCAGCAAAATTTAACATTCATCATTTTATATTAATGGATGTGAATTCTGCGTACTGCTAAGAAGCACTTTTCATGATCTGCCCAACAACACGTGCAAAATGGATCTCACAACCCTACCTAATCTCAGGGCGACCAGTTTAGACAACTACGTCTAATACTCCGTTCCAACCACACAGATACCCAGCACAGCATTTAACCCAATTTCCCCACAAAGTTCAACTGAGCAATTTAACCCTTGCGTGTGATATAACCCCCAAAACCTGCCAGTTTTATTAATATATATATATATATATATATATATATATATATACTGCATTAAAGCTCTTTCCCCCTCCAGATGTTCCTGAACTACAACTCCCATCATTCCCTGGTCACCTATCTATTGCATTCAAAGAATTCTAGGAGTTTTAGTCCATCAACAAGGGGTGGAGGGGTCAGAGATTGAGGACCCTTCTCCAGATCATCCATCAGTTTTCCTTTAATGACTGACAGCACATGCGAAAGTTGCCCAGCAGTATGCAGAATTCATGTGCTGCAGTATTATTCAGTCATTAATTGCCTTATTTTCCACATGCAGATGAATTCTACTTAGTGCAGGGATACACTGCATCACGTGCAGCCCAGTAACTGTATGTGTATCTGGCAATCCTATCCCACAAGAAACATGAGCAGGAAATCTTTCAGCCATTCCTATCCTTTATAAAGACTTTACACTCCCAGAGTAAGATATCTCAATAATAAGCACACAGAGCCCCCAGGAAGCAGACAGAAAGCCCCCCACAGAGCAGACAGATTTAACTTACAGGATTGTAAATGGGAGCAAAGCTGGCCATGGTGTCTGTCAGATGCTGTGTTCAGCTGCTAATGCTCAGTTAGTTTCGTTTTTGAAGAAATAGACGTGACTGATATAAGTAAACCCAGGAGGGAGGAGAAGGGAATACACAGGGTAAAGGTTACAATGTAGTTTAGCCAACGTTCCACTTTATTATTGGACTTGCAGCCAGTGGTGTATCCTGGTTTTGTGCTGCCCTAGGCAGGACAAAACTCAGGAGCCCCCCAAATCCCCCCCCCAACCCGCCCACGCGCGCGTGACCCCCACCCATCCCTTCCCCCCGCCTACTAAATACACACACACACACACTCACTGACAGATACGCATACACTAGCTAACAGAAACACAAACTCACTGACACACACAGACACTCACTCACTAGCAGACACACACTAGCAGACACACACACACTCACTGACACACACACTCACAGGCAAACATACACACACAGTCAGACACACACACACACACACTCAGGGGGGCGCTGTGAATAAAATATGCCCGGGCCGAGTTTGTTTCCCAGTCCGGTCCTGCCCACCTCTCACACATTATTATCCCCCCTCCCTTTCATCAATACACGCCCCCCTTCACACCATTACCCCCTCCTTCACACCATTACCCCCCTCCCTCTCACCATCACCCCCCTCCCTCTCGCTATCACCCCCACCTGTCTTGCTTCATAACATCAATATCCGTTATAAAACCAAGAAAAGTTGGGCCTGGATGGTGAGCTGATTCGGTGGTGCAATGGGCCACTTGATTGGATTTTCCCCCCAGGCCTAAGGCTGCCAGCCCTCCCCGTGTTTACTTAATATGTAAACTAAGTCAAATGTAGAAATCCACCTCTCTTCATCCTGCAAATGGGTTTTTAGACTTAGCTTCCCATCAATCATTGTTATCAGCTCTCTCATTTACACTTAGCATTCAGCATAGAGCAAGCAGAGAGAGAGAGAGAGGAAACACTGTGATGAGAGGAAACGAAACTAAAGTGTTTCTATTTCTTGTCTTCGTTTTCAATGATTGCTTTGTCGTGATGTTGTTTGCTAAATTTTAACATGAATTTTAAAGAATAATCATGAATAAAATGTCTACGCAAATTACAGGTGATTTTCAATGTTATATTTAACGGAGTACATTGCAGAGAAGTGACAGTGTCCCTTTAATCTCTATGCAGGTCACTGTAAAGTGTAATTACTCGAGTTCCGATTTGTTCGAGAACATAATCAAAATGTCCCATAAGAAATATTGTAAATTTTTTTTTTTAAATTCTTTATTTATATTGTGCAAGTTATAACAACAAAGCTTTGTAGGCCACGACAGCACTTCCAAGCAGAGAAATAGGTTTAAGAAGCATAGTCATGGCATTCGATTAGACAGCACATTTTTGTATTGTAAAATGCAAGAAAAGGTCTATTCTGGTAGAAAAGGTGTAGACTGTAGTGTGCTCTGACAGACATTTTGAGTAGAACACAAGTTTTAGAGGAGGAATTGGAAGTAGAGAAAACGAGTAGGCTCCCCAGACTGACTATTCATGTAACAATAAGTTTGTTTACGCTAGGCACGGTTATAAACATAATCTACAGAGTTTAGATATTAGCACAACATTAGCTAATAATTGTAGATATTTTGTTAAGTGGCAGCAAGATTATGAGTGTCTCAATATGCATATGCCTATCATGGCAAAAAAGGGTTAAAACAAAAATAGATGACAACATAACATATAACATAGTCAGCCAGGTAAGCCAAGGTGTCTGGTATAGTCCACTGGTGCCCTGCAAGGTGGGTCATCTGGTCTGGCAGCCTGATATTGATGGGGTATCCATGCAGGCAGATCCGCAGTGGGATTAGAAGCCCCCTCCGTGCTGTGTGCTCTGGGTACCCTGCCGCTGCTGGTTCCTCGTGGCCATCGGTGGGGATCCTGTACAAGCTAATCTTAAGGCCCTGGAGGGCAATCGCGGCAGCCAAGCTTCATTCGTGAGTAGGTAGACAGGGACTTCCAAGATGGGACTTCACTTGTGTTCAGGCTTGTGATTCGTAGGTAGGAGTTATGCTCAGCAAGCTGTTGTTTCCGCATGCGGGCAGGCAAAGCTATGTTGTGTGGTATTGGTCGCATTGCCGCCATTTTGGTGCCCAGGCGCGTGATACACAGTGCCAGGTAGGCTGGATGGTGGGCCAGTGGAAGGTGGTATTTTCCTCCAGTGGGGACCGGGATAACCCCCCGGTCCATGGGGGGGGAAGCGGGACCCTCGAGGCGCATCGCACGGCCGTTGCATGGCAGCCAGGTTTGCAAACAGGACGGCGGCCATCCGCCCCGCTCTTCACCCTCATAGGCCACAGACCCCGAAGCCTCATATCGCCCACAGGGGCTCCGAAACTCCCGATCTCGGGGACCGCGGTGGCTCCAGCAACTGCCCGGATACCTGAGAACTTTTGGGCACTAGTATTGCTGTGTTGCTTGGATCTTGTGCCAAAGGAGACCCAATTTTGTCAGGAGCCTCTGCAACCCGCGACCGGTCAGCATGGCGGTCGGGCCCCGCCCCCAGAAATATTGTAAATTTGATTAATCCATTCCAGACCCCCCAAATTATTATCATCTACCATAGTTTCACACAGATCTGCAGCCCTAGGGACAATATCTCTACACTAGATTTATCAGGTTAATGAGTTGGATAGGTGTTAAGGGATGCATGTGGTAGGTGTGACGTGCATGCCCTATGTGTCTCAGCAGGGCAAATTAACCCTCTCTCTCCCTAGTATGCAACCAACCACATTTATCAATAGTGAGTTCACCAAATTTCACTCATTACCAGTGGATCATGCCAATTATACTCCTATAAAGAGTATAGTGGATATGTCGGATATTGTAACGATGAGTAAGTAAGTACTCAACTGTGAGTAGTTATGGCAGCAATTAATCTATTTATGAGAGGTTAATGTAGTGTGATTTGTTAGGGTACCGAGGATCGTTTGGGTACCAAGACATTTTTTTCTAAATTTGTTGTTGGTTGGACTACTGAATTGTTCAGGTAAGGGACTGTTTGAGTTCTGCAGTTCCACTGCCAGAGCATTATTTGAGATATCATATCCGCGCATAGAGCACATATAATCAGTATGAACATCCCCTCAGAGCTGTTAATTTTTCCAGTCTTTATATCTGCACAATAAGCACCCCCCAACACAGGCGTCCAGCTGTATGGAGTATTAGGGAGTGGGTCAATGATGCAAATCGAGTTGCTGTCACCACCTAAATGGGCCAACCTTCCCAGAAAGGGGGAGGGTCTACTTGGAGAATTGGTCAGCCCTGTGTAAAAGCTGCCTGATAATCAAGCTAACCGGCCCACCAAAGGTGGACTATGCAGGGAGCTCTGCTTCAGTTCTTTTTTGCAGTGTCCTAGTGGCAAGTGCCTATAGCAAGAGCGTGTCTAATGATGCGCTCGCAATTAGATTTTTGGGACACCAGGGAACAAATTCGGGATGGTGGGACACAACCTGAAATCAAGACTGTCCCACTAAAATTGTGAATTTAAAGAGGCATGCAATAAGAGCTTTATATTGACCTAGAAAAGGTCACTAAATTAATTGGTTTAATTTCTAAACAGAGCAGAACTATGTTATGTTATCATAACTATGTTATCATTTTGCTACTAGTAAAGACAATGTTACTGTTTTATGTATTTTTTTTAATCTGTTATCTTTGTATGGTGAAGTATCTATCAAAAGACTCATGATTTAAAGGGATATTATAGTCACCAAAACAACTCTAGCTCAATGGAGTAACGGTGGGCAGCATGTCATTTTCATGGCCCAACAAATAAAGAAAGAAATGAAGTTAAATATTTTTAAAAGTCACCAAAATGACTTTAGCCTAAAGAAGCAGTTTTAGTATATAGATCATGCCCCTGCAGTCCCATTGCTCAATTTTATGTCATTTATGAGTTAAATCAGTTTTGCTTCTGTCCACACATCCCTAGCCACACCTCCCCTAACTGTGAATGGCACAACCAGCATGTAAAAAAGGTTTAATTTGCAATCAGATGTTACCCAGAGTTCAGTAAGGCTTTTGGCACTGTCGCAAATTGAAGTCTTATCAATACACTGCAATCTTTGAGTTTGGATTCCAACAGAGGGTTGTAGTCAATGGAGTATATTCAAAGCATGGTCTTGTCACCAGTGGGGTACCTCAGGGATCTGTACTTGGACCCATTCTCTTTAATATTTTTATTAGTGATATTGCAGAAGGTCTTGATGGTAAGGTATGTCTTTTTGCTGATGATACTAAGATATGTAACAGGGTTGATGTTCCAGGAGGGATAAGCCAAATGACAAATGATTTAGGTAAACTAGAAAAATGGTCAGAATTGTGGCAACTGACATTTAATGTGGATAAGTGCAAGATAATGCATCTTGGACGTAAAAACCCAAGGGCAGAGTACAGAATATTTGATAGAGTCCTAACCTCAACATATGAGGAAAGGGATTTAGGGGTGATTATTTCTGATGACTTAAAGGTAGGCAGACAATGTAATAGAGCAGCAGGAAATGCTAGCAGAATGCTTGGTTGTATAGGGAGAGGTATTAGCAGTAGAAAGAGGGAAGTGCTCATGCCATTGTACAGAACACTGGTGAGACCTCACTTGGAGTCAGTGGTGTATCCTGGTTTTGTGCTGCCCTAGGCAGGACAAAAATCAGGCACCCCCTTCCCCCGCGCCACCCCCACCCAACCATTCCCCCCCGCCCCACCTTCTAAATACACACACACACACACACACACAAACAGTCAGACACACACACAGTCAGACACACACACACAAACACACACATACACAGTCAGACACACACACAGCCAGACACAAACACACACACACAGTCAGACACACACACACACAGTCAGACACACAACACACAGTCAGACACACACACACAGTCAGACACACACACACACAGTCACACACAAACACACACACACACAGTTACACACACAGTCAGACACAAACACACAGTCATTCATACACACACACACACACAGACACGCACACACACAGAGGCAGACAGTCACACACACACAGGCAGTCATACACACACAGACACACACAGGCAGACAGTCACACACACACATACAAGAAGACAGTCACACACACAGACACACACACAGGCAGTCATACACACACACACAGACACAGGCAGTCATACACACTCACACACAGACACACAGGCACACAGTCACACACACACACACACAGTCACACACGGGCAGTTCTACACACACACACAGACACACACAGGCAGACAATCATACACACAGGCAGACAGTCATACACATACAGACAGTTACACTCACACTGACAGGCACACATAGTTACCTCTATTCATTGTGGAGGCAGACAGGCAGTGCAGCTACTGGAGACTAGTTGTTGGGGAAGCAGGGACTCCTTCTTGCTTCCCCTGCAGCAGTTATCCGGCACTTTTAGCTTCGCCTCCACCTGCCACACGGGAAGCTCCACCCCGTCACACGGGAAGCTCCGCCCCGCGGCAATTGTTTTTTTTAAATCCCAGCCGGCCATGTGTGAGCTGTGTCGGCCACAGGGTGCCCCCTGGTCCATGACGCCCTGTGCGGCCGCACAGCTCGCACACCCCTAAGACTGGCCCTGATTCAGCAATCTAATCAATTGTCGGGCGATACAGAGCTCAGATACAGAGACACAATTTGAGACTTTACCAAGCCGGCTACTCACAGGAGACCGGAGAGACACCGCTGTGGCCTATTTTGCCAGAGCTGGGAGGAGGCGGCCGATCTTCCTGCTCACCGGTAAATCACCAGTCTACACACTCTCCTACCTCCACCCCCTGGACCGGCGGTGGTCATCCCGGTCCCCACTCGACTGCCTAAACCTCCTGTGCCCCTCCCCCTTTCTATATCCATCAA